GGGGAGGAACAGATAAAGTCACAAAATATCGAGAGGGGGGAGAGAAGTGTGTTTCACAGATGTAAAGAGGGAGACAAACACAAAGGTAGAGAGTTGAGTAAGTTGAGTGCTGTGGAAGGGGTTGAATATGACATACAGTCGGGTCATGGTAGTTTGAAGTCAGAAATCAATCACTGGTTTATAGACTTTCTTGCCGTATGAGTATACGTTACCTAGAGGGCACCACATGGACTATTGAAAGTGAGTTGATCAATGTGCACGTCTATGTCGTCAGCAGTTATTGGCATACATCTAGTGGTGTGGGTGGTCAACAAGATGGGTGTGTGTGTGTTGAAATGGGAGTTTCTTGTGGGAATGAAGTCATCAATCAAAGGTAGAGGTAGCTCTCAAGCTATCTTTTGGATCTCTCGGTAAACTTCTGAGACAAGGATAGTTGGCTAGACTATCGTATTGCGAGGGGTTTCACAGACAATAAGTTGGAACAAAAATGCATGAAGAAAACAACGTGCAGCAATTGGAACACCTAATGAAGCTGCTAAGTTTTAGATGAAAATCGAGGGTCAACAAATATGAGACAAGACATTAAAACTTTTCCCCAACCATTTATGCAGGTAACGCAACTCATCTCCCGCTGCACCACAGAGGAGTTCTCTGAACGTCTTATCGCCTTCTGCCATCAATCTAACACCAAGTTGATCGCCAATAACGCCGCCGACGTTGCACTGCGTCTCTTCCTCCACTGCACACTCGTGATCACTCATTCTGAGTCCGCCCTCTCGGCCGAACGCACCTCCCTCTTCGCCTACGAGTTCTTTTCTCAAGCCTTCACCCTCTTCGAGCAGGGACAGCAACTGGGTGATGCACGATGTCAATTTGCTGCGTTTGAGGCCCTTGTGTCCACGCTGGTGCACGCGTCACCACGGTGTCATTTGTTGGATAACACTGAGGCTGTGTTGAGGACCCAAGTGTCTAGAGCGGCCACCACGCTTCTGCTGTTGAGGGCGGATCAGAGCAGAGCTGTGGCGATCTCTGGACAACTCTTTCTACCATATCCGTCGAGTGAAGTGAAGGAAGGAACACTGATTGACTCCGAGGTACATTCGGAGTCTGACATTAGGGGGGGGGAGGGGGAGGGGGAGTATTGAAGATTTCTGTAAGAAGCGTGGCTTGAATAAGTTTTATAAAGGAACATCTTACTAGGCATGAAGAAAGAGAGTAAAATGTCATGAAAAAATCCCAGAATATTTATGAAAGCGTCCTCAACACCTAACTGGGGGGGGGGAGGGGTGGATAGAGGAAAGGCGTCCCAAGGCCCCTCCCTCTTACTGATCAAAATAAACCAGGGCGTTTTGTCTCCCAAGCTGCACAGGTTAACACCGATCTCGTGACCTCTGACCTGGTCGACGCGAATGTTGGCCTCTGTGTTATCAGCAAAAAATTCCCATTTCCTTTCTATAATTAATGCATTCTGCAACTAGTATTATTTATTTATATCAAATGGCAGGCATTTCGATACTTATCATTGGCCCTTTAGCCGACTTCGGGCTTCACAGAAGGGAGGAACATTAAAGTGGGAAGAAATGATAGGGAGGAAAGAAGAGCGATTAACAGATGTAAAAGAGACAGACAGACACAAAGGCAGAGAAAAGGAATATGAGAACTGTGGAAGGGGTCGAATATGACATACAGTCGGGTCATTATGAGTACTGTGGAAGGGGTCGAATATGACATACAGTCTACTGTGGAATTATTCGAATTTGAAATGCGGTGGGGTCTTGGTAGTTTGAAGTGAGAAGTCAACTGCCGGTAAAAGACTTTTTTAAGTATGGAGGAAGTGATCGAATAAGACATACAGTGGGGTGAAAGTGATCGAATATGACATACAATGGTGATCATGGTTGTTTGAAGTCAGAAGTCGACTGCCGGTTTACAGAAGTGGTGAAATATGACATACAGTGGGGTGATGGTTGCTTGACGTGAGAAGTCAACTGCCAGTTAATAGACTTTTTGCCGTATGTGAATATACGTTGCCCAGGGTGCACACTTGGAGGTAAGTCTATCGCATACCCTGCAACTAGTATTATTAAATAGTCTATTTAGACAGAGATTAGCCAACAAGTCCTCTATATATATTTGACAGAGGTCTCTCTCTGTCGTATACAAAGGTGCCGTCTTATGAAACAGACCCACGTATTATGATATTTCTATCCTTTACAGGGTGTATTCGGCTGCTTGGACAAATCCCGTTCCCTAGCTGATATGTGCATGGATATCGACACTCGGACACAGCTTTATGTCGACTTACTCAACTACCACCTTATCTACCATCACCAAGGTGTTGGGCCTCTTGAGGTGAGGTTTTTAGGTGTTACCCCACCACTTACTTCTGTTTATCTCTCTCTCTCCCACATACACACACTCCATGTTTGTTCATTCGTTTTGTAGAGCATGCAGTCCCGAATGAATAGCCTCCTAACTGAGATGGAAAAACTTTCCAGCCAATTAGAGTTCGTCCCCGATTCCTTGGCTGCTTACTTGAAAGCCACCAGGGCGAAGGCCCTTGAAATCATCAATTCCTCCTGATTTAACCACACCACAGTCGCGGTGTGTCCTAATTCCTCGTGATCCTTATTCGATTACCATCTTTTATTTGATCTCTCTTCCTCCTCCTTCAACCCATTCGGACTCTGCTTTTACCTCATCCTCCCCGTGAAGAATCACTCTCTCGCTCGCTCGTATTCTGGTCAAGTGGATAAATACTGCAGATCACACTACCTGTATCTAAATATTGACTTTCATTGGGTTCAGGTTGGGGGGGGGGGGGGGGGGGGGTGGGGTATCAGTGTAATTAAGTTAAATTACTAACGGCTTAATTAAGTTACTTTGCTTAAATATTGTTGTCTTTCGGTGCATCTAGAGATTATATACGTGTCTTGCTAAGGAGAGTTAAGATCGGTTGAAGGCAATTGCAGTCGCTGGTGGTCTTCAGAATCGGAAGATTCTGCATAGCAAGGCCTGGCGTAATCGACTCCTCAATTTCACCAGATATTGTACCGACGTCACCGTAGTACAAAACGCTCGAGACTGCCATGGGGTGGTTTTCCATTATTCTCCTTTTTAACTGAGTAGATTCATTCGGGTGGAAGGAGCATTAAAGATGGAAAGTAAAGAATCTTGTTAATAAGAATTCTTTTTTGGGGATTGGAGCGTGTTGATGCTGATAGCTGATTGTTCAGATGATGCCATGGGAGGGATCACGTCTACAAAAGGCGCTTTGAGAAACACGCGTACGTGATGATGAGTTGGTGTAAGACAATGGCATTTTGGAACCTGTTCGCAATCTAGCTATAACCCAAAACCAACCGAACCCACTTCAGAAAAGTACTCGCAAATTCTTTCGAATAAAAGGGTGTTTCTGAAGGTGAGAAATGCAGAACTTTAAGAACCTCACCTTTTAAATGGTGACTTGATCTTCAAGTCCCAATAGGGAAAAGACCGCTTGCATTCCAATTATATAGAGACTTGGCTTGGTTAATGGAGTGTCTTGGAGTAATAGCTGTCATGTCTAATCGGCTGGCGTCCGCTATAGCCTTAGCGATACCTATTTAATTGATGTTTCTAGGGCGTAGGAACTGTACCACCTATCGCTCTCTCAACAACATGAATGAGTCTTGCTTTTCTCTCCAAAAAGATTAATCATCCCACTCAGTAAAAGGTGGTGGTGTTAGCGACAGACAAATAAAGTCATCATACAGCGTGAGATTAGAAATTGAAATTGGGAGGGGGGGGGTTGTGGAGGGGTGGGGTGGAACAGATCACCGACGCATATTTGTCAATCATTTGCCCAAAATTGGACCTTTTGAGTGAAATTGAATTTTTGCGGACAGAAACCCAACCTACTAGTTCATCCTCTAAGTATCGAGCAAATAGGCAAATGCAACGATGTGCTATCTACTTAATTGGGGGGGGGGGGGGGGGAATATCCCATCCTCCTAGATCGAAGTTGATTTTAGGTTAATGGGTGTGTTTACGGGCTGAAAGTGCTTGTTTAGCGCGTTTTAAACCATTCACACACATTGGCCCCCTGAAAATTTATATCAAATGACAGGCTTTAGGATAGATATCATCAGCCCTTTAGTTGACTTCAGGCTTCACAAAGGGCAAGGGACATTAAAGTGAAAAAAGTCACGAGGTGTAAAAGAGGCTGGCAAACACAACTGTTGAGCAGAGGGTAGGATGAAGTACTGAGGAAGTGATGGAATATGACATAGAGTGGGAATATGGTAGTTTGGAGTGAGAAGTCAACTGCCGGTTTATAGGTCTTTTTGTTGTATGAGTGTACTTTACCCAGGGTGCGCCACACTGAGGTAAGCCTATCACACATCCCAATCCTAGAAAATAATGACTAATTAAGCACGTTGAAAGTTCGTCAACCTATTCTGAACCTATTTTCAGATTGATCGAATGCAGTTGAAATAAGAAACAAAACTCCAAGTTGTATCGTAAATAGATCTCAACTTTCTGTTCCCTTCACGCGCATGTGTTAATCCGAGGGAAGAAATATTTATTTTTCCACTCCAATTTAGAAGTCTGAAAATATTAACTGGACGGTGAAAATTTGTGGACTTCGTCGCTGGCATTAGGAGAAACCCCGAGGGAGTGATAGCTCCCGAGACTTGAAGCGAGCCTACTTCCACATCCAACTTAGACCTTCTTTGGTAAATCTCTTGGTCCAATGTGTACTGAAACCGGTTGCTACTTCGAAATTGAGAGGTTTGATTTGGTGCCGGATTACTCGCCGTGATATGTATATTAGCTCCAATTGGTGTCACCATTGTGCTACGTAAGTGTGTGTGTGTGTAATTTCTCCAGCATAGCCAATCATGTTTGCAATGAGAAATATTACCCGACGATAATAATATGCAAATGAAGCTCTGATTTGTACCTCTCTCTCATATTTGGCCACACAAACAAAAACAGTGCTTGGAGAAGATGTCGCCGGGAGATAGGTATGATATGCTGGGGAATCTGATCACCACAACTACAACAAAAGTTGCTACAACAGCGTCCACCTCTCCGCCACCATCGTCAACAACAACTGCTGCAGTAAGTTGTCTCCATGTTATAAATGCCTATTTATTTATACTTCAAGGAAGTGCAGTACTCTGTATCTTCCGACAGTCGGGAAATTTCATTTACACCTGAGCCTTTATGAAAACTCTTGACATCCTTTTCTTAAGTTCCACACACACACACACACACACACACACACACTCATGTCATTTCGGGGAGCATGAAAGACCAATGTTCGTGATATTGGCCTAGGAATTAATCGCACTGACAAATCCTTAATGAGATTCGGGGTGGAATAAAGGAATGCATCATTAAGTGGTGATATGAAATCATTAAGCCCTATCAGTGTTGTCGACCAATAGCAGAGGAGAAACGTGTTTGCCTGTAAAGACAGGCAGTCTAGACTCAGTCCAGTTACTATGCGAATATACTAATGGGGCAGGAATAGTGCTTTTATGCAGTATCTCTTTACTTTGCACAGATCTATTCAAATCAAGCGGCTAAAAAGACTGCCAGAAGCTTGAGTAGCTTTGGACGTGTTAGAAGTAATTGGGCATTTAATCATTCAATAATTGTCTCACTGATGTAAGTACATTTCCAGGTAGGAACCTGAGAGTACACTAGGCGATGAGTCAACTCTCGTGAGGGAAGAAATGGATGTGGCCAGAGTGGCCTCTTCGTTTTCAGGATATTAAACAGAGAAGGGGTCATATATTCGCCCTTTCTGCTTTTGTGGGTGAGTAACCAGGCTAAAAACGACAGCCTTTGCGTGTGAGAAGTTATTTACTTATTTATGCCAAATGGCAGGAGTTTTGATAGTTAACATTAGCCCTTTAGTTGACTTCAGCTTCATAGTGGGTAGGAGGAACATCAAAGTGAGAAGAATTCGGGAGGGGGAATAGAAGAGCGTATCACAGATGTAAAAGAAACAGATAGACACAAAGGCTCAGAAAGGGTAAGATGAGTACTGTGATAGGGGACAAATATGATACACAGTGGGATCATGGCAGTTTGAAGTCAGATGTCAACTGCCGGTTTATAGACTTTTTTGCCGTATGATTATACGTTGCCCAGGGTGCACCACGTGGAGGTAAGTCTATCGCAACAACTGCCGGTTAATAGACTTTTTTGCCGTATGAGTATACGGTGCCCAGGGTGCACCACGTGGAGGTAAGTCTAAATATACATTGCCCAGGGTGCACCACGGAGGTAAGTCTATTGCACACCCCATGATACCTATCATAACGCCTGCCATTTGAAAATACCCCTGGGTGTGAGAAATTAGTTTGGACAAATGTGTATTGGACAATTGGGAATGATTGGATTGAGAAATGAGGAAGGAGTAGACATCAAGATCAAAAAATGGAGGCGCTGGTACTGAGGTTGGCAAGTCCAGATCGTACGAAACACGAACCGAAGACCGATTAATCGATTTTGTGCCTCATGTTCACTGGTGGAGAAATGAGTCAATATGAATGCAGCACGAGTCAACTTGATCAGGTATTCTGACAAACCACACAGCATGGAATTTACAACACTTTGCACAAAAGGAATTGGGAACTTTTAAGCAAATAACATTCTTAAACATTGGCAAGCACTTCCCTTTAGATTACAACGCCAGTAACTACTCCATTGCCGACAGTAATTCCGGCGGGAAATGCAGAAGTTCTTGATGTCTTTGAGAGATACCCAACGCTTGCAGATTTCTTGCGTCACCTCATACCAGGCGCATTCACCGCCGATCGATCAATAACAGCCTTCTGTGTGCCCATAGAAGTCCTCGGTCTTGTTTTAACCGCCGCGGTTCTACTCTACTGGTCACGAAGTCAGCGAGGCTTTCGTTGGAGTGAAAGACGGAGGAGAGGTGGTCTTCTTCGCTTAATTGGACTCCTCTATTGTCCCCTTCTCCTCCTCCAAACCACTACGAGTCTTCTAATTGATCTGGATGGCATTTGGGAATTGAGGATTCTTGCTACAAGTGGAGCTAGAGCACTATGCCCCCTGATTCATAGTTTGAATGTGTCAACGAGAGTTGCAGTCGCGTTGACGTTAATTCTGATTGTTTGGCGAACTCACCGATTGACAAGGGACAATTTAGGGAGTGGAACGTGTCTGGACGTGTGTAGTCAATTTCCGTGTGAAATGTATCCGGTAAGTCATTCGTATCTTAAAATCCGCTTTAATTCTGCGTTATTTGCAACGATGTAGTATATGTAATTCGTTTCGAAATGAAAACTCAGAAATGATTGGAGGAGTTACTTCGGTAATTGGTATTGCTCAGTTCAGCTTGGCAGGCGTTTTGATAGATATCATTAGCCCTTTAGCCGACTTCGGGGTTAACAGGGGGGAAGGAACATCAGGGTAACGGAAGGTCGAGGGGCGGGGAAAAGAAGAGTGATTCACAGATGTTAAAGACGCAGACAGACACAAAGGCAGAGAAAAGGTAAGATGAGTACTATGGAAGGGATAGAATATGCAATACAGTGGGGCCATTGTAGTTTGAAGTCAACTGCCAGTAAATAGACTTTTTGCCGTATGAGTATACATTGTCCTGAGTGCACCACGTGGAGGTAAGTCTATCGCACACCCCAGACCTTGAATATCATCTTTGGCAAGATTCCCTGCAATCGTGCTAAGATAATAGAGCCTATGGCATGGGAAGCGTTTTTATTGTAAATACGGCCAAATGCAAAATACTATCGGTAAACGAATACCTTTAATACAACTCAAACTGAGCATTCTACAACCGTGTTTGAATTTTCGGTCTCATCAACTCTTCTATGTGCCAAACTTTAAACGCAGTAATATCTTATGTGATTATCTGATTTTCGTAATCTTCGGAAGGAGTAAATGAAGTAAAGCGGCAGGAAGGACCCTTCCAAATGAGAAGTACTCCCACCAGTAAGCCCTGAACATCTTGAAATTTGTGTTTTGAAACGTCTTTGTTCCTTTGAAATTTGCTCCCTCTCCCCTCCCCCCTTCTCTATCGATTTTTGATCCCCCTCTCTGAATCGTTTATTGGACATCCTGTTTTCTCTGTTGTCATTGGTCGCCCAAACTTTGTCCAATAGTATTGAAGATATTGGGCTGGTTGAAACGCTCGTCTATTGCCGTTTCTAAGTCTGGATATTCCCTGATAAACTGCCTTTGTTTAGTAATTCGGTAGGCCATTGACGGGCTTGGCTTCTCATTCACTTTATTCAAATCTGATTAAACTGCTGCTTGCTGCTTGGCCATTTATCATTTATTTATAGCAAATGGCAGGCTTTATGATAGGGGAGTAACATCAAATTCACAAAAAAGTGGGAGAGGGGGAACAGAATAGTGATTCAGAGATGTAAAAGAGACAGATTCAAAAGTAGAGAAAAGGTGAGGTGAGTACTGTGGGAGTGATGGAATATGACATACAGTGAGGGGTGATGGTAGTTTGAAGTCAGAAGTCAACTGCCAGGATATAGACCTTTTTCCGTATGAATATACGTTGCCCAGGGCGTATCACACACCCCACTTCCAAAAAATAGTTTCATAAAATGAAATTTTTCGTTTAACCACCATATCCTTACAACAGAACTGGGGATTTACGATGGCAAAATGTTCGTCTGTCAAAAATATAAGCCTCTTTCCATGATCCCTCAATACTTATTGAGGCATAGTCTAGGACAAAGCGGTATCATATGTAAGAAACATATATATATATATATATATATATATATATATATATATATATATATATANTAGGTGTGATCCGACATCATCCGCGTTGTTAAAAATTTTACCATTTAAAGAGTTTTGCATGGAACGCAACAAATGGTAATCCGAAGGCGCAAGGTCAGGGCTATATGGTGGGTGTGACAAAACATCCCAACCCAGTTCCAATAATTTTTGCCGAGTAACCAAAGATGTGTGGGGCCTTGCGTTATCATGATGGAAAACAACACCCTTCCGATTTGATAATGCCGGCCGCTTATCTTCAATTGCATCCTTCAGTTTTTCGAGTTGTTCAACATACACATTTGAATTTATCGTTTGGTTCTGCGGCATGAGTTCAAAATACAAAATTCCTTTGAGATCCCACCAGACTGACAGCATAATCTTTTTTGGGGGGTGAATCTCTGCTTTTGATACTGTTTGGGCTGGTTGATCTTGCTTCACCCATGATCTCTTGCGAGTAACATTGTTATAAACTACCCACTTTTCGTCGCCAGTAACTAGGTTCTTCAGAAATGGATCATTCTCATTGCGTTTCAGTAGCGAATCACAAATGCTAATCCGTTGCGTCAAATGAATTTCCTTTAACTGGTGAGGGATCCATAAATCAAGTTTCTTGACATAACCAAGGGTTTTTCATTTTTTTTCAATGCATGTGTGCGACACATTGAGCTTCTCTGCAATATCTCGTGCTGTGCTGTGACGATTTGAATCGATAATGGCCTTGATATGGGTTTCATCCACTTCGACTGGACGGCCAGATCGTTGTGAACTTTTCAGTGAAAAATCACCGGAACGAAATCTTTCAAACCAATTTCGACATTGCCTTTCTTTTAAGGCTTCATCTCCATATACGGCACATAACTTCTTTTGTGCTTGCGATGCGTTCTTGCCTTTTCGGAAGTAATACAATAAGATGTGTGGGAAGTGCACGTCCTGTTCTTTCATTTTTAAATTGGGATAAAAACAAAACTAAAGAACTAAACAAAAAATTATTTACTAATTAACCTAGAAGCCCATACAGTAAGAAGAAAATATAGGTTAGATGCTCTGGCCACGTTAACAAAACAAAATAACGTCTAAAGTGAATCCGTAAACAAAAACGGCAATGACTTAGTTGCCAACCCGATATGTATTTGGCAAATTAGAGATATTCAAAAAATGACTGCTATTTATCTTTATGAGATTGGAACTATTCTAGAAAATTTGCAAGAAAGGCAAAAATTTTCTTCATGCCCAAATCTGGGTAGTTATTCCATTAGAAATTCCATGAACTCGGCTTTTCTGTTATTTCAATAGCTTTGTCTGTTTTATTCCTGCAGGCGTATATTGGCATTCTTCTCGTCTCTTTTGTTGCCGGATTGGTTGGCGTCAATTTCTGGCAAGTAACCGCGCTTTCACCTCCTTCTACGACTGGGTCACCCAACGACTTGCAATTGATATGCGTGCCTCAAAATGGCTACAGGCTCGGGGTTCAGGTGAATTTTCAAAAGGACACACCCTCTCCCCTTCTCTACGAGTGGATACTCAATATGGCCGTCTTTGCGCCAACAACCTTCATCGCCATCATGTGCACTCTGTCATTCTCGAGGCGACTTCTCCAACTCCCGCCGTCTGTTAGTCAGGTTCTGGGCGAATCGAGGAGAGAGGAATGCTTGATCAGAGCTCAACAGAATCGTTTGAAGTTGGTGATTGTAATTTGTGGCCTCTACGGATTGGCCAATTTGCCTCTCGTATCGGTGGTATTTCTTGGCATAATGGCCACTCCTGGACCGCCTGACCTACTCGATCATGAGGCAAGTATTTGGCCATTATATATATATAATTATATCAAATGGCAGGCGTCTTGATGGTTGTCATTAGTCCTGAAGTTGACTTCAGGTTTCACAGAGGGGAGGAACATCAAATTGAAAAAAGTCGAGCGGGGAGGGGGAACGGCAGAGAGTTTCAAAGATGTAAAAGAGATAGACACAAAGGTAGAGAAAAGGTGAGGTGAGTACTGTTAGAGAGACAATGGTAGAAAAAAGGTGAGGTGTGTACTGTGAAAGGGGTCGAATATGACATACAGTGGGGTCATGGTAGTTTAAACAGACACAAAGGTAGAACAAAGGTGAGGTGAGTACTGTGTTACACAAAGGTAGAGAAAAGGTGAGGTGAGTACTGTTGAAGGGGTCGAATATGACATACAGTGGGGTGATGGTAGTTTGAAGCGAGAAGTCAACTGCCTATTAATAGACCTTTTTGCCGTATGAAAATACGTTGCTCAGGATGCACCACGTGAAGGTAAGTCTATCACACACCCCTGCAAGTGCCGCCTCGATACTCACCATACAAGTTTTATGGTAAGACCGATAATCGGCCGATCATGAAGCAAGTATTTGGCTGACTAATTCAATTTGAATATTTCCAAAATTTATATATTTTATGACATAGGTATTCAAAATCGGTGATTTGTTAAGCAAACTTCCAAATATGTTTATTGTCTCTCCACTTTTTTGCTTATGGGACGCATCATCAATGACCAAATAGAAATCCCGCTATAGAACCCTACTCAGAAATATTTTAGCTATAAATGTTCACACGAACTATGCTAGAGTTATCTTATAACTAATCGCTTTGCCAAACTCTACTCTTCGCTTTTAATATACGTACCGAATAAACCTATTCCGGGCTACACGTCTGTTTCCCTTATAGCTAGGCTATAGCTTAGCTTGTTCTGGGAGTCTAGCTAGATGTTGGAGAATCTGCCATAGAGATTTCCGAGTCGGTCAGGCTTTACTAGCGTAGCAATCCGCTAAAAAATTGGTGACCCTGACGTGATTGCCAAAGCCTGACCTCAATCGCTCAGCAGAGAACCAATCTCTCACTGGCATCGGGATTTTCTCTCCTCGTCCTGAATTAAAATGTCAATAAGGCTGTGTGAAATCAATAATTGGTATCGAATTTCAAGTCCATTAATGAGAAACAGCACGTATTAATGATGTAGTGGTTAATGTCAATGTCATTGCAGGAATTAACTTCGAAAAGAGGCACTTTTTATCTGAATTTCCAAAATGCCACCAAGATGAGTGATTGCACCTTCTAAATGCACCCAGAACTCATAATTAGACATTAAATAATGACCAGCACCTCTTAATTAAATTATAAGTAATAATCTTTTGAGTAAAATGAATAGTTCCATCTCACGAAAGTGAATTTTTTTCAATTTTGGGCGTTTTAAAAGCGTTACTGAAAATGTTTAGTAATAAGTTGCATTTAGGTTTAAATCGGCAATCAGGATTATTTCGTAAAAATGACGTCGTTTGAATCTCAGGCTTTCTTTATTTTTGAGTGTGGCTATTTGGTATGAAAGTGAGATGTAAGGAAGAATCTATTCTTAAAAATAAGTTTAATACAGTGTGAGTTAAGTAATCGATTGAAGTTGGGAGGTAACATGTCTTATCGAAGTTATTTAACCAGAGATCCCCGATCGTCCCTAGAGAACACAAAATTTGCCCTTTTCTTCTAGGAAAATTTGGGAGTTGTAACTTGCATTTTAAATCATAACTCACATAAATATTCAATTTTTGGCTCACTTATGTGAAAATGGTCTACTAATATTCAATAACACCGCAAACGAACCATTTTAAAGAAGGTTATTGTTACTAAATAAAAAATAAATATC